GTTGCGATGTAAACACGCGTACTTGTAAGTTGTACCGTTATTATTAGGCCTATACATACGATTGTTAACAACCGGTTCGTGGAGGTAATTAAATTCTAAGAACAGGTTCGCATGAACCGGTGCAAATTGGCTGAATCCCACCACTGCATATACGTATACTTTTACCAGATGCTTTTCTAAATACATGTGACATCAGATTCCAACAGTGTCTGATAAAAATGGCAACAGTAATAATGTTAAATACAACACATATTTATTGCTTAAAGTTCAAAAATATATTTTTGCTGAATTTTTCTTCAGGTTGCCATTTTTATTGTGCTATTTTTCCCACTTTGCAGTATTAGTGGTGTTCTTTTTATCAGTGCTATTATCATTTATTTCCTGAACTTAAATCCAAAACTTTACGTACAACAGAAATCAGACTATTAGGTCTATAGTTTCTTGGAGCCTTGTTTGAGTCTTATAAGAACAGAGATAATACTGAAAATTGTCGACTAATCAAAAAATTGAGGAATCGTTCTGGTATCAATGGCCTTCAGAAAAATTATACATAGCTCTTTTTCTACTTTTTTAGGATAAATCCTGACAGGTTTGTATTCTTGAAGTTTATTCAGAATAACCACAACTTAATGTAAAGAGGAATTCAAGAAACATTGGTCAACTTAAATATCTTGTGTACTCCATTATTAAAAAAGCAATATTAAGATGTTTTTAGTATTTTAGCCTTGTGCCATTTAAATGTATAACAGATCAGTGTTATCGTTGACTCTCTTTTTTCTGTTAATGTCATAATAAAAGCTATTCTAGTCAAATTTTATATTTATACCAACAGATTTTCAGAATTCATCTTAGTCATAACAGATTTGTTTATTTTGTTAAACTCGGCATCTTCCATTTTTTTCTAGTGAATTTCATATTCTTGTTAATTAGACATTATTCATTTATTGATAGTTTAATGTGTAAAGCTTTCATTGCACCATTACTAATCTTATGATCCTGGAAATTACAATTATTTCTGAAAGGTAGCCTATCAAGCCCTAAGCAGTCTTGAAAATATAAATCACATCAGTGAAAACAGTTTAAATGTTTAAGCATCTCCTTATACCTCAAATTTTTGTAACCAGGTAGCATTTTGGTAGAATTTCTTTGGTAGCAGTTCAATAATTTATCTGTAGTAAGGTAATGTATTCCATAGGAATTCAATGAGTTTTTTACAGTAATAGTAGTCTTAGCTCAAAATTTGTTTTAATAATTAATTGTCAGAATCCATTTACTATTAGTACACATCACATTGAAATAATCCCATTTTACCACTTACTTACAAAGCACTAGCTCCAAAAATCCCTGTTGTATTGTGTGAATGAGGTGCTGGTATTGATTTGTGGACTGTAGGTTCAAGGTATGCCAACAGAAATAGGTAACATAATTTAAAAAAATAAAGATATTGAGGTGATTTTCTCTTCACATCGTATGTTAATAAGTGTCCCACAGGAGTAAAAGATAGAGTATAATAAGTTGACAAATGTGTTATTTACAAAATTCCTTGTGTCTGTGGTCTAGTTTATTTTAGCCAAACTCTTGAAATTTAGAATTAAGGAACATAATAATGCTGAAGATAAATGTAAGGTTTAATGAATCAACTTTAGTGGAATAGGTGGCAAGCACTTCTTATGGTATATAGTGGGAAAATGTGAATTGATGAATCATATTGAGTTTAAGTGGGAAGTAAATATTAGAGAATTGGTAGGAATTGAAAAAAGCAGCACATTTTTTCCCCATTTTCTATAATCATATCTGGCCACAGTCTAACAAACAGTGAATTTTTTTACATTTTTATTTCACAACATAATTATTCTCCAAAATACCAACATTATTTTTTACATAACTTTTATGTCATATTGAAGAGTTTTGTCACCGGTTGTATGGCTTTACATTTTACCAAAATTTTAATCAGATATTCATTAAAGTAACTTACAGGTTAATTATGCATTATGTGTACATACATTTAATTTACAATCAGTGTTTGTTTTTGTTAAAAGTATTTAATCAGAAACATGTATGTACATGTATAACATAATGTTCTGGCCTAAAAGTTCTACTTGTAGAGTCATTAAATTAATCATTGCTGCAGTAATATGATTATAAAGGGGATTGTGTTTAAGAGAATATTTTCTAATTGATCAAAACATGAGATAAAAAATGTACAAGCTTTTTGTAGGTTGTTTTAAATATGGTGGTATATGTAGGTGATGAACATAAAATAATTTAGTTAGTAGAATTGAGAAAGGTATAAAAGTAGGATTTGTTAGATTGTCCTCCTCCCAATGATGCGTATATAACTTCCTAGTCAGTTAAATTAAAACATTTACTTTTTAACGTTAGTCAGTTTCCACAAACAAAAGAGTTCATACTTGTTAACGTTCATCAACAGTGTTACACAGTGTGTATAATGCTTGCAAAATGTGTATAATGGTGACCTGAGGACAAAAGAGGGAAGTCTTTCAAAATGCCATCCTTTCCATCTGTGCTACTTTTGTAGATTACTTCTTCAAAAGGTGTCATGCTGAACTAGGGTTGCTGCCCATTTTATGTTTTTTCATCATGAAGACTGCATAAATCATAAATGGCTACTGTTATATGTTAAGTAATATATATATATACTAGCTGAATAACCCAGCATTGCATGGCAAGAATTTAGATTTGAAATGTATAAATTACTATTTTTTTCAGCAAATTATTCAGTAAGTAGACAGAAGCTGTGATGTGAGAAATAAAAAATAATTTAATCAAACAAAGCTTTATTTCAAATTTGATCGTGTTTGAGCTTGTCTTGTTCTTTGAGTGTGAAGTCGTATATCATGTTGCTTCCTTGTTTCTTGCTCTCTGTAAGTAACGTCAAACCAGACTTCAAGCACAAAAATTAAGACAAATAGGTTCAGAAGTTTCTTGTTGTCTATATCCAGCTTGACTTGATGATTCTGACTGAACTCTGGCTTTGTACTGTTCAACAGTTTCTTGCTGTCTTTGAGTAGCCTAAGATTCAGCTTAAGCTCGAAGTCTAACTTTACGTTGTTCCAAAGTCTCTTCCCGTATTTGAGCAGCCTGTCTTGCAGCTTGTGCTTGAAGTCTTTGATTGCGTTCTTCTTTTGTTTCAGCTGCTCTTTGTGCTTGCATTCTTTTAGCGGCAGAAGACTTTCCATAGAAAGAGCGTTTCTTGGGTGGCATAATCACCTGTATCACTAAACAATAATTTGCAATTCACAAAGTTACTAAATCACTTATGAAACCACTTAGCACTATTTAAAGAAAACTGTTTATGGAAATACTGAATTGACAGCAAGATGATCTGAGTGTATCCCGCCATAACACTATCTATGTGCAAAACGTGCTTGTATGTTTATTACAAAAAAATTTATTTAAAAAAAATGGCACAATAATCATTAATTGTCAATTTCGTCATTAAATACTACACCAAATACAAAATAAATAGCACTATTAAATTTCATGTAAAAACTGGTTATTATGAAGTTATATTAAAATTTGTAAGTTCAACCGTTTGGTTTCCTATAGCAAACAAAATAAACAAACTTCGTCTTTTATATATAGATATAGTAGGTCATCAAGAAATTAATTTCGTTTTTTTTTCTTAGATGAAAAAACTTAAACAACTTGTATAT